CCTCTGCTTCCCAGGTCTCCACTGAACCAGATAGTCTAATCTCAACTGGCTTTCACCTGATTTTCAATAAAGGATGCATAATACGGTGGAGAGATGTTAACTCCCTCGCCATGTATGCAGAAGGCATTGGGCTCGATCCCGGCCCCCGACACCTGTATATTTGAAGATTTGCATGTTCTAGTCTTTATCGCGTGGATTTTTTATCCGGAATCCTGCGATTTGTCCCTCCACATTCAGAAACATGCGTTTAGAGTATTTGGCTGCTTAGATTTCCACGTGATAAGCCAACGTCATTTGTGACCAGGTCACTTGGGAAAAGAGCTAATATAGCTGAGTGGGCCTTACCTGGTAAAATGAAGAGTAGTCCTACTAATAAAGTATTAAAGCTTTCGTGACTGCATAAAATTACTCATTGGTTTTTTCGGTAAAGTCACGTATGTAGAAATACAATACAATAAAATTCTAATTTTATTGCATTTCTACATACGTAACTTTTACCGAAAAAAACAATGAGTAGTAGTCCTACTCTTCGGTTCTTTCGGTAAAGTCACGTAGGTATAAAATAAAATAAATCACGACGTTTCGGGCACAACACAAGCGTCCGGCATCAGGTGGGAAAATCTGGGTGGTCTAGCAGCCGAAGGTTTTAGGGAGCTCTGCTTGGTCTGGTCGATGAGAGAAGTCGATTTAGTGATGATATTGTTGATTTTATACCTACGTGACTTTACCGAAAGAACCAAAGAATATGGATTCTTGCAGTAACGAAAGCTTCAAGTCAAGTAGTAGTCGTATTCAATCTCTTCATTGTTATACTGTACTATGCTCTCCAACGTCTACACTTCCCACATTCACAAACCCGCACTGACCAGAGTGGTGAATATTGTCAAATCACGCCCTCGCTCCACATGCACGGCGTTCGGAACTCCTCATTCAGCAGTGGATTCATCACATATCCGTAAAATATTTCACCTCTTTCGACGTACACTGTCCCCAAACAACCTCCAACGTGTTCACACGTTGGAGGGAATAATGTCTTCTTACGGAGCGACAATATCAACGAAAGCCATTTGGAGCCTGCCGATGTGAAAATCCACAACGTGAACTCTACAGTTGCCGTCTCACTGCAGCGTGCGCCCGTGTCTCATTGGATCTCGAAACTCTACGAAGCGTTATTGTGACTGGGTTAGTGGGAGAATGGCTAGTGTTGTGGACGTCGGTGGAAAAACGAGCTTCACAGCTCATTGTATTCCTCCGGTATACATACATATTCTGATTCCGATTGTGGGTGCTCGCCGATGCTTTAACACAGGCGCTGTCGACGTGAATCTGAGACTAGCAGTGAGGCCAGTAGATGGCAGCAATAGCAGCGGGCTCAATTTGCGCACAGATTGAATGGACTTGGTCTGTAGGTATATAGGACTTGATTCGCATCGTACGTAGCCAACCGTGCTAATCGGAGGTGCGGGATTTACGAATCTATCTGTGCGGAGTATTGAGTGCCCCCACTACTTCGTACGCGTAGGGGAATGCTTCTAATGGGGGTATCCGATTTCCTCCCACACGAAGCCAACGTCTCATTAACGAAATTGGCCAAACTCGGCAGCACAGGGCCCTCCGGAAGAAAAAAAAAGTCTTCATCCTTAGGCCCTTCCTCGGTAAATAATTGGAATTAATAATACATTGTTGACACAATGGCAACGTTTGTTTTAATCCGCTGCCCATATCTACCCGCGAGTATAAACGGCCAAAATTCCAGTGAGTCGATCGTCAGGATGTTTGTTGTGTGTGGTATTGGTGGTGGTGGTGGGGTAAAGTGTTGGTACTCCCATCTCTTCCAAGACGTCTGACCAGCGTGGATGAAGTCGGTCAGCTATACCTCTCAAAAGAGAAGCTCTCTAGAGCTCTCTCTCTCGTTATGAGAGCCCTTCCACCAGCAGTGGCGTGATCAGCAACATTTCAGGTTGGCTACATAGAGTGCGAAAGAAGTTCAACACACATACGTACCTATTAAATATGTATCGACATATGAGAAAATTTGCATTTTTGTTATTGTTGTTGTTAATAAGTGAATGTGTAGTGAGAGAATCAGTGGCGTAACTACATTATCAGCTCAGGGGGTACGGAAATCCGTCAGGTGAGGGCCCCCATATTTGGTTCGTCTCGCACGATCGCACCTCGCCTATAGATGTTAACACCCTCACCTGGTACGCAGGAGGATCGTGGGTTCGATCCCGACCCTGACACCTGTATATTTGGAGTTTGCGTGTCTCTCTCCCCGTGGTCGCGTGGATTTTTCTCCATGTCCTTCTGTTTTCCCCACCATATTAAGAATGATGCGTTTAGAGTATTTGGCGCCTATTAACATCTGTGGCCAGATCGCTTCTGACAAAGAGCCACATAGCTCAGTGGGCCGTACCTGGTAAAATAAAAATAAAAAAATGTTTGTTTTGTTTATATATCGCGGCTCCTCTTGCCTAATCACATCATCGCGTAAGTGTTGTTGTTCTATAACGTTGTTATTGAACACATATCTCATGGTGGTTGTCAAGGGGGCCCCAACTCGCGGCTTTGGCCACCGGGGGTGAGAGCGGCTATAGGCACCCTCTACCTGCCCCCACGCTCGTTACGCTCCTTGGCCGCTCATCTTTGCAGACTCGGAAGAGCGCGACTGTGAGGAGGGGTTGGTGGTGGTGGTGGGGGGGGACGCCGCTCTCGAGGCTCCCACCACCGCGAATTAACAAACACCCCCCCAAAAAAAACACCGCGACGCTTTTGCCCTCGGTCCTGCGCTTTCTCTCCGCGAGTCATAAATCGTCGCGGACGAATAAATTCCGACGCGAGCTACGGCGAACGCCGCGGCACCACGACGCTCCGCACAAACGCGAGTCGCATTCCAGCGCCAGCTGCTTCGCCCCGCGATCAGACGAGAAGATGGTGTGTTGTTGTGTTGGTCGAACAAAATTATATCGACTGGCCCTTTATATCTCCAGGAGGGGGGGGGGGGCGGGAAGGGGAAAGCCTCCTGATTTTTGGGGGGGAGGTTGGTTCGTTGTTGTTGTCGTGGGAAAGGTCACGCCTGCTGCATTATCGGGGGGTGTTTGTGAAATTCCGTAAATGTGAGGTTGGGTTTGGCCTCGCTTGCGAGGAAACTTGAGCGCTTGTGCTTGAAGAAACCCCACGGCCAACCACACGAAAGGGTAGCGCTCATGGCTCCGCAAGGGAAGATTCAACAAATTCCGTTGCCGTACTGCTTTTGCCGACGCCCTGACCGTATTGTAGCCCACGCACATAGCGCCTGACATCTGGCCTGGCTGTCTCCGCCGGCGAACGTTTTCTCCAGGCCCACGCCTGCTTTAGCGGACGATATCGGGCGTTATTCTGGTTGATGTGCTCGTATGTTAGAAGGCGTGTGTGCTGCGTCCGGAGGCCGTGATGCTGCAATAGCAATCGGTTAGCAGTGGCGGCCTTTTCTCGGTTTCTATCGGCCTTAGCGTCACACTCAACGGGAGGCAAATTCGCTTGTGATTCGCACGAGACTCAAAGCCAACACCCTCCTCTGTGAGTGAAACCAACTAACCTTCCGGGCCGTACTCTTTGGGAGGATAAAATCCAAAATTGTTGGGGTTTCCATACCTCTACAGTTACAAGCATACCCGATCGATGTGAACATCTTCCTCTTTGTGTCCACGTTATGACATCTGCACCCGACACTATTACGGCATTCTCCTGATAATTGTGAGAAGCACCTTTTCCAACTGAATTTACGAGCAAAAGTTTGGGGTGCGTCTTATAATCAGGTACGCGTGTCTGTGCGTGAGCCCAATATTTCACGCGTAACTTTGACACACCGGATACTGTAGATGTCTTATAACGCGCAGAACACTGTAGATGGCACGCGTGCGTATTACGGTCCACGTGCGCGCCTGGCTAGTCGAGGTAGGATAGATACGTACGCGTCGAGCATCCCGCATTCATTAAGCACAATATCTGTCCCATTAAGGAGCAATCGCCCAGGCTCAATGATATACGGGGAAGGTGATGGAGGCGGGGGGGGGTCGGATGTGCGGTGGAACTTATGAATAGCGCTCATTTTTCAACTCGCCTCTTCAAAAAAATGCATCTGCTTGGTTGCCTGTAATTTAATGCGGATGCATATTCTTGGTTCTTTCGGTAAAGTCACGTAGAAGGGAAACAATAAAATAATACAAATATAAAACAATAAAAGCTTTAAATCAAAATTTAATGCGGATGGTTTGGGTTGGAGGGGCGAGGGAGTCACTTCAAACAGCGGTCGGCGAGACCCTCGTTTCGCAACGTGCACGCCCGAAACATTTTCACCCGAGGTAGGCGATGATGGTCTGACCGTCATTAATGAGGTGTGCTCGGCTCTTTTTTTCCTTTGGGGATGTGGGTGGGTAAATGCTTCCTTAATTAATGTTTGAGATTGATAAACAACGATTGGTTGTCCGTGGTCACTATTATCGCATTATTCAGAGAGAACGTGGCGGGGTTTTTTTTTTTGTTGGCGTAGTTTCTCCAATGCTGCGTTTTTTTATTATTATTAAGTGTGTGTGTATATCGTGATGGCTAGACGCTTGACATTATTGTCTTTCATCAGCCGCGGTCAATCCACTGCTGGATGATAGCTTCCCTATAATCCGCCGCCGTTAACTCTCACGATCCTGCGACGCATTTTTTTTAAAGTGAATTTCAAAATACGGCTTAGTCACAAACAAAAAAAACACAACAACCACGTGCTGCTCATAAATAGATGGGAACAACTGCGGCGCCACGAGTTGTGTCACCGATGTTCACGAGCGACCGCTGTGGTGGTGGTGTTGATGTTGGAGAGGGTTGGAACACCCCTGATATTTTGAAATGGAACAATCGGGACGGACCGCGAGCGGATTGGTTGATGCGCAACAATGGGTGGAGCCATGCGTCGTCGGGGGTGGTGGTGGTGGGTGGGTGGTGGTGGTGGGTGTTGCGTTTGTGTGATGATGGTGGTGGGGGGACGAGGAGCAGGGGGGGGGGGGCGTTCGAGGAGGAAGGCTGAGAGCCGATCGCCGCTCTTTTCAGGACTCAACGCAACAACCTTGCTGTGAGCCATTGTGATGTTAAAAGAGAGCACATCAAAGTTTGTGGGACGTTCGACTCCAGTGAAAGGGAGGAGGAAACAAAATCCCGCTTAAACAGTGACAGCTCTCCAAACTCCAGCTGAAGTCTCTCTCTCTCTCTCGAGAACGTATTTCGAGCGCTTGCGAAATAATAAAAGTCGCGCTTTCAAAATTAGCGGAATATATATATATCCAGTACACATCGTAGCCCATCCTAGTCCTTTCTTCGAGCGAGTGGACGCTTTCCAGCTGTGGACGACTGCAGCTGTGACCTCGGTGGGCGTGTATTGAGCAACAGCATCAGCAAGCAGCAGCATCATCATCATCAACAGGAGCAACAGCATTGAGCATCTCCTGGGACCTCGAGGGACACTTGATGCCACACGGGCACGCAGCACAAGAGCCCTGCGCCCAGGCTCCCAGGACCGCTCCGGCCAAGCGAAGGAGACGGAATCGCCGCGGCCAGCGCTGATCTGTGGGAGCCGAGGAGCGAAGACGCTGAGCGTTGAAACAAGGGGAACGGGGGGGCAGGGTCGCTCGGTGGGGGGGGCGAGTGCGCTCTCTGCCCGCGCAGCCGTGGTGCCGCCGCCGCCGCTGTGACTGGTGGTGCGGGGGTAGGAAGACGTGGAACATTCCGACTCTCGATCTCGGCTGCGTGATCCAACTGGATGATGATGATGGTTGATGGTGGTGGCGACGGTGATGATACGTGCAGCTGCTGAGGATGGAAGCGTGAGGTCGCATTGAAGACTTCTCCGACCCTCCGCCGTTCTGCAAATTGGACTCACTCTTTCCAGCTCTGCGTGTGTGTGTGTCTCTCTCTCTCTCATCTGTCTCTTATCTGCTCGGCGCCGACACGCGCCTGCCGCTCAAAGCCCGGGGATTAAACAAAAAGTAATGCCAAAATGGACGTTAGGATAGCCCTGTTGGTGGTGATCTTCGGAGCTGCGTTCCAAGCACGGGGTAAGTTTTCCCAGCACCGAGACGGAGATGATGGGAGAGCGCGTGGCTCTCCTCTCGCTCTCTCTCTCTCTTCCCACACTCTCTCTCTCTCGCTTACCCCCTCTCTCCGCTTACGCTCTTCGGCACGCAGCTCTTGGTGTGCCGCTTTAACTCTTGCCAACTGCTGCTGTTGCTGATGCTCGGCACCGTAACGCGCGCGCGCGAGCCGGAGAGAGAGAGATTAAAAAAATAACTGCTAAGCGCAGAATGTGGAGGAGGAATTGGACGGTGCGATGAATTTGCGTCCATGGCTTGAATGTATCGCGGCATGCATATTCATGTAAATTTGCGTAGCACAAGAACGCCTTACCGGAGGTTCTTTACAACTCCAATTAACAGGAGGAGATTGTCGGTTTGGCGATGTTTGGCCAGTTCTATTCAATGGGTGTTTGGCTTGCGTGTGGGGAGGTTAAACCAGAGAAGCCCGGACCAAAAAAAACCTTACTCAGGCGTACGAGGGGGGTGACACTCAATATTGCCATCTTCTGGTCACACCACGTGTAGCTCCCCCCACGTCTACAACACCTGGCAAGCCCCGGTGGCTGATCCTCCAACCCAGGACTGGAGTCGAGGCTCAGTCCTGCTTGGATTTCTGTGGAGGTCGCAAGTAATTCAGGTTGATTTTGCCGTCCGTATCGTATATGTCGAATATGTTCTGTAAGGGCTAGAAAACTGAAATTTTACACAAATGTGGTCGAATTTTTGCCCGTAACGAGGACAATCAGAACAACCGGCACACTCAAAATATCCAATTTGTGCCGCTCACAAATGATAGCCCGGAGGTTCGATGGTTGATTGGTTTCGTTCTGAAATGGTTGAAGCCTCGTGCCTAACGCATACTGAGTGGCTCAAGTAATTCGCCTACCGTGGAGTGGAGAGCGACTCAATGGCGTTGTATAGCGGACCGGTTACTAAGTACTGCACGTACTGCGAACTGGTGCTGTACGAGTGTGCATGTGGTGCATAAACACCTCGTAAAATTGTAGCAGCTTGCTTCAAAGCGTGCAAATTGCATTACAGGACACGTGCAGTACGTTGTATACTGCATGCGTAGCGCATACAAGACAGCCAGGCGTATCATAGATACAAGGACATGCATATGTGTGAGCGCACATGTTTTTTGTTATGCATTCTGAGCAACGTTTGTTGAGTCAGAATCTTTATTTAGACTGGAGGAATCCGATGAGCTACGAAGCTCTTTCCTTCACAGATGTCCAGTAGCGCACGGCCAACATCCGAGACGAATATCTGGAAACCGTATCTGGGGCCCTCCCCTAGGTCGACTCGGCCTTAAATGAGCCACATGGTGCGGTGTGTAAACACCGGCACTGGGGGGAGACAAAGGTGGTCGGGCGTGGTATTTGTCACATCACTCCCCTCGTGCCCCGTTCTCATGGGTCCTCGCTAACAACAACAGCCCTTGACCCAATAGTCTACGGGATGGCTATGCGCGGGGGGGGGGTCTTTGTCTTTGTATGTTGCAGTGTATAATTTTAACAGCATGTGCTAAAGTATGTTTCGTGGCTCCGCCGCGCGCCCTTAAGGTTTTTTTAGCGGGGGGGGGGGGAGCTGTGGGGGGAATGACAGGCGCAGCGTGGTACGCGCGTGCGCTACGCTGTGCGCAAACGCACGTGTGCGTCGGTGCGTTTGAAGGTTGAACAAGGAAGGGGGAGAGGAGGCAGGAGGGGAAAGAGGAAAACACAAATCAAAAGCAGAATGCATCTCGCCGCGGTGACAAATGCCTCGCCACGGTGACCTAGATTAGGTAATGCTCTGAATGTATTAATCAGTGTCCACGCACGTAACGGTTGCATTCGTGATGAGATGCATAATTAAGATTGCGACGGAGGTGGCGACACAGGTACAGAGGAGTGGAGTTCTTTTTTCCCATCACCTTTTGCCAAGCGCTAAGGCGGGTTGGAATGCAATTTCCCGACAGCTAGAAGTACTCGTTGACAGCTTGTCTTACCTGACAGCCGAATTCATCATTGGCTGCAGATATGGTAAATCAACTGCTGGATGAAGGCTTCCCCATGCAGTCATACGATGGCCACAATTCCTACTCGTGCACACTGAGCTGATCTCTTTGCGCAAAATCTCTCCTGGGGAATCGGGTCTCTCTCTCTCTCTCTCTCTCTGGCGCGTTCCTCGCCTTTGGGTGATATTCCATCGCCAGTCTTGTCCATGGGTTATCATCCCTGCCATCTGGCATGTGGCCCGCCCAGGCTCCACTTTTCTTCACAATGTGATATAATTTTCGCACGATACCTGACCCATGTTCATCTTTCTGTTTCTCGATGCAATTCCGAGCATGCGACTTATCACGCTCCTCTGCGCACTTTCATCACGTTTGCCCATTTCTCTTCATCAGTGTTGATGTTACCGAATCATGCGTCATAGCGGATCAATGTTTCACCGACGGCCGAATTGTGACTGTAGAACGAGTATAAACACATCGCATCCCAGGGACGGCGACTCCTTTCGAAGGGCCTTCATCCAACAGTGGATTGATCATTGCCGATGACGATGATGAATGAGTTAAAGGAGAATGGACAGGATGCGTGGTAAGTCTTCATCGTCGCCTTATATGGCATACAGCGGCATGCGGTCGGCTCTGAAAAGGGTCATTGCTCGTAACGTTAGCGCAGTACTGCGTCAAGCACACCGTGTCGTTGTTTTTTTTAAAGAGAAGCGCTTCGGTTTTTTGTGTTTGCTGCTGAAATATTTCAGCCGAGGAGAGCTCACAATAGCTTCATTCCCTTGTGTGTTTTTTTTGTTATTCGCGAGCACACACGGTGATGTATTGGGCACCGCACAAACTGCGCGCAGAGGTCAGTGCAGGCAGGCTCGAGGTGGGGGGGTGGGTCGGTAGGATGGAGAATTGGGGGGGGGGGGGTCAGAGGGGGGGGGGCAGGCGGAATGTGTGCTGTGCTGGGCGCTGGTCCCCACGCAATGGACGTGGTGACACGGGTCGCTGGTCCTGTTGCCATTTGAGATTAAACAAAGGAGAGCGAGGTGGTGGAGGAGAAGGAGGAGTGGGGAGTGGGGTTGGTGAGGTCGGTTGGCATCGGCTAAAAATGAGAGCGGGTCCAGAGTTAACAATGCCGACCAAGGAGGGGGGGGGGGGGGTGAAGGCTGGCCTCGAGTAATAGCCAAGAAGTTTGTTGTCACAACACTGAACACTCTCCTGGCCCTTCGCAACGAGGGGTGGCGGGTTCTGGAGAGCGAGAGAAGTGGGCTGGTTAGTGGGGGCGCCCTGGCCTGCCAGTCGGCTAAAGTTCTAAGGGGCCGGACCGGGCTGCGTTTGTGTTTTTGCCGAAACCCTTGAAATGGAACAGTGGCCACAACCGAGCAAGGCGCCGCGCGACTTAGCAGGGCACTGTCACCCCGGCGTTACACGGAAGCGAGTGTGGTGCCCTTGATCAGGTTAAAGGGAAGATCCCCAGAGCGTTGCGAATGGGAGCTCCGTGAGAACAGCAGGCACGCACTCCACCCTCCAAACACCTCCACCGCTCCCCCCTTCCAGCGGCTTCTTCTTGTCCTCCTCTCAAAGTCCCGACCGCGCGATCCTCTGGACACGACACGGGGCAGGGGAGGAGGGTGCTTGCAGGAAGCAGACAAGAGTCTTGCACGCACGTGGAGCCTGCTCGACACGATGCCTCTCGTCTACCCAACCGTACAGATGTCAGAGTTAGGGTGCCCTATAGGGGGGTGGGGGGGGAAAGGGGTGATTGGAGCGGTGGCGCACAGTGGCCTAGCGTACTTTGATAGAGCCCCAGTAAACAAAGACATGAGTTTACCAGCTTCTGTATTGCCTGGGGTACCGCCGTATAGACGGAACGCTCTTGCCAATAACATCTGGCAGCTCGGCAGCGTTAGTTTAACAAGCCTAATTCTTTTGATCAGACCCATGAGGTCAAAACCGGTGCAGTCTTTCCAGTGGTGGTGCTTGCCAATTGGGGGGGGGGGGGAGGGGGGCAGTGGGCGGGCGGGCGGGCGGCTAAGCAGATTTTATTTTGGACTTCTCTTTCAATTTATGTAATTTTAGTGAAACGAAAGAAGATTTATAAACAACATTGGGAGCGAGAAAAGAAAACCGTAATCGCACAGATGTAGTGAGAAGAGACATAGAGACAACGTAGGGACGAGATAGTCATTTGCTTTTACATGAAATAGCATCTTGCGCTTATTAAGATTTTAATTTGAGCTGATATTCGATGCAGCCGTATTTTTTCCTTATTAATCCGTAGCCTCAGTCTTTTATTGGGGCCATACGCTTTTGCTTGGCTTCATATTTACGGCTCATCTTATTTCAAATACACGCCGCTGCTTTTATGACATTGGTCTGGAGAAGCCCATGGGCTGATGAACAGCAAAAATAAATATTTTATTTCCGCGTGGAGAGACGAAGGATCTATTTATTCGATTTGCCGTGATGCTTGTGCCTCCTAATGCGGTTATTGCGCGTGGCGCAGCGCGGCGTTCATTAAGGCTCCATCAAAGCGGACTCCCATCTCCGCAGCCCCATCCTCCTCTTCCGCCACGCACACACATCATGGGGCCTTTGGGTAACGACTTTTTTTTGTCAATCAACTGCTGTATGGGGGGGTGGGGGCGTTCCCCACGCCGTGCGGTTTGTGGTATTGGGGCCCGGGGATGTTATTTAACCATCCTTCAGCACGCTGGTCAAGTGCGGATTGGTGGTAAAGGGAGCACAGAAGTACAGTACAGTAGAATGATAGATGTGTCTCCACTGCCCCTCCCCCCACTCTCCCGTGGCACAGTAATGGGCTGTCGAGTCTGAATATCATGCGGGTGTCTCACGAGGCAGGGAAGACAAAGGCGGTTCGATTTCGTGGGCGCGCATGATTTTCGGGTGGCGTTCACGGCGAGGGGCTGGCTCCGTGTAAGATTGATGGCTGATGCCCATCACATGTTCCGCAGCACAATGACAACCTCTT